CATCGACTACCATCGGTAGCCGCCCATCTCTAGCTTAATGCTGGGCTGTGATTAAATTGTTTTTATTTCGCAAATTGTAGAAAATATGCCCAGAGAAGAGACCAAATCCAGGCGACGCAGTCGGGATAGAAGGAGCAGGAGTGCCGAGCACAAGAGCAGCCGGGACAGGCACCGTGGGAAGGATAGAGAGCGGGAACGGGAACGCGACCGAGACACAACGCGTGACAGAGAAAGGGACAAGGACAGGGAGCGTGAGTGGCGCCGGGAGAAGGATAGCCACAGGGAGACAAGCAGCAAAAAGCGTCGCTCCGCCACACCACCAACCAAATCGAAATCGCCATTGGCCATGAGCTCCGTGAAGCTGCTGCAGACGCTCGAGGCTCGCCGCCTGCGCGACCAGGAAGAGCGCCAGGCCCGCAAGGAGGAGCTGAAGGCCCAGGAGACACCCGAGGAGAAGCGTGCACGCCGCCTGCAGGAGAAGCAGGCCAAGGAGCATCGTCGACGCGAGCGCATGGGCTGGGACAACGAATACCAGACATATTCCAACGATGACAATCCCTTCGGTGACTCCAACCTCACCTCCACCTTCCACTGGGGCAAGAAGCTGCAGGTGGAGGGTCTCTCGAATCTGTCCACCAAAACAGTGGAGGTGCTGTCGCTGCAAAAGCAAATGGAGAATCGCCGCGAGCTGGAAAAGGTCAAGAAGCGACGCCAGGAGCGCGAGCTGGAGCGGCAGGAGCGCGAGGACGATGCAATGCAGCAGCAGCGAGCCAAGGAGGCGGTCCAATTCCGCGAATGGCAGCGCCAAGAGGACCAGTTCCACCTGGAGCAGGCGCGCCTACGCAGCGAGATACGCATCCGGGATGGGCGGGCGAAACCCATCGATCTGCTGGCGCAGTATGTGGCCGCCGGCAATGCACCGCTGGAGGAATCTCTCGAGATGCAAATGCACGAGCCGTACATGCTGCTGCACGGCCTGCCGATGGAGGAGCTGGAGGATCTGCTGGTGGACATCAAGGTGTACGAGGAGCTGGAGCAGGGCAAGCACATTGACTTCTGGAACGACATGGTCACCATTGTCCAGGATGAGCTGCAGAAGCAGCAGAAACTCAACTCGGATGCCAGTGCGCTCAATCAGCGACGCGATGGCATCCACCAGAGTGTCGTCAAGGATGTGGCGGACATATTTCGCGGCAAGAACGCCAAGCAGCTGGAGGAGATGCGTGATCGCATCGAGGCAAAGATCAATAGCCGCGCAGACGGTGTCGATATCAGCTACTGGGAGAGTCTCCTATCACAGCTGAAGGCGCACATGGCTCGTGCACGGCTCCGGGATCGGCATCAGGCCCTGCTGCGCGAGAAGCTGCTGCTGCTGAAGCGTGAGAACGAGGACGAGGCGACAGCTGCTGCTGCTGTGAAGGAGGATCCAGAGTCCGAGCCAATGGAGGAAACTGCCGCTGCACCAGCGCAGGCGCAGGAGGGTGAGGGTGAGGATGAGGATGAGGAGGCTGCCGCTGAGGAGCAACGGTCATCCTCCCAGGGCGAAGATGAGGAAGACGAAGACGACAGGCCACTGAGGGAGCTGCTTAACGCCGCTCGCCTCTACCAGGCTGGCAACTACAGTCCGCAGTACATACGGGAGGATGACTTCACCGGCCGTCGGATACAGGCCGGCGACCGCGAAGACAACGACGATGGCGCCATGTACGATGAGAGCGATGATGAGAGTCGCATCCATCGACTGCGCATGCAAATCGTCTGCCCCGAGCGCATGGATGCCGCATCCTCGGGCAGTCAGCAGCTGTCCGCGCAGGAGCAGCGCATGCGGAACGAGGCGCGCCAGGGCATGCAGGGCGATGAGGCAGAGTTCAGTGTGGAGACAACGCTGGATGCAGTGCCACAGCTGGCCACGGACAAGTATCGGCCACGCAAGCCGCGCTACTTCAATCGCGTGCACACGGGCTTCGAGTGGAACAAATACAATCAGACGCACTACGACATGGACAATCCGCCGCCGAAGATCGTCCAAGGCTACAAGTTCAACATTTTCTATCCCGATCTGATGGACAAGTCCCAGACGCCGCAGTACTTCCTCACACCCTGCGCGGACAATGGAGACTTCGCCGTGCTGCGCTTCCACACGGGTCCACCCTACGAGGACATTGCCTTCAAGATTGTCAATCGCGAGTGGGAGTTCAGCTACAAGCGGGGATTCCGCTGCCAATTCCACAACAATATCTTTCAGCTTTGGTTTCACTTCAAGCGCTATCGCTATCGTCGCTAAGCCCCCACCCCCACATACATGCTCTTTTTTTGTGTGTAATTTAAGAATAAATTCTGTGTGCAAATTACATTAAAATGCAATCTTTGATGGGTGCCGCTTGGACCGTTTCGAGGGTTTCGCCGCTCGCTGCCCGCTGCACCTGTTGCAGCACACTCTGGTGGTCGGGAAAGGCCAGGGTGGACAGCTTGGAGTGCACCAGCTGCTGATCGATGGTCACCTCAAAGGCGCCGCGTCTGCCCACATGGCAGTGCACCTCCAAATCTCCGCCGGGTGCGGCTGCCTCCATTAGGAACTGGCGCAGCAGCTGGCACTGCAGCTTAAAGTTGCACACACCGCTGCAAGGGATTCCAGAGTGTGTCAGCAGCAGCTCATGATGCGGGTTGGCTGTTGTACACCTACCAGTACTCTACATCGACTTTAACCATTGCATAAAATGCAAAATTTCAAATTCTAAACAAAAATTGGCCTAAAAGCGGCGACAGCGTTGCCAGACTAACAGAGCAGTGCTGCCAATTTAGCTTATTTTGAGCTAACGATAAATAGCTTGTTCTAGCAGCTAAAAACAGCCTTTTGTTTAGTTTTTTTTTAGTTTAATCAGCATTTCAAATGTTTTGCGAATGTTTAAAGCCCCTTTGCGCCTATCCCTTGTTGGCCCTGGCCCGCAGCAACGTCTTGCAGGCCGCATTGTGCGTTTTCAGCGGCAGTTCATCTGTGGAGAAGAGAGAATCAGCCGCCGAATCATGAAATTTACTTGAAGTAAAATCAAAAAAAAAAAACTCACAAATCTTATGATCACCCTGAACGGGAAGCAGTATTTGCAGCTGCTCCGGCTTGCTGCAGACAAACACATAGGGACTGTCGGACTCCCCGCGTGGATACGAGTCGCGATATTCCTCCTGCGGCACACAATTCTCCACATGAACGCAGCCCAGCAGGCTGCTGGTGGGATAATGCTCGGGGAACTTCAGATTTGGATCTGTGTGGGAGAGTGGAGAAGGTTAAGAGTCCAGTGTGGAGCAAAGGAGTGCGGGAGGGGACACTCACCCTTGTAGTGGAGGCGATAGAACTCCTCCATGTGTGCTATCTCCTCTGGATGTGGCTCCTTGGCCGTCGAAGCGATCCACAAACGACCGCGATGCTCGCTATACCACACGCGTCCCTCGTGCCTGCAGAGAGCGACAGACAGAGAAAAAGATGTGAAACTGAATTTTCGCCCCCAAGGCGTTTGCCACTAACTTTTTGATGCCCGCCACCAGCAGCGAGGCCCAGGGCTGATGCATGGACATGCACTGCCGCATATCCTGCATCTCGAGCAGCTCCTTGTCCTGCACGCGGTTGTAGATGCGCTCCAGATTATCGCTGGCCGCTGGTGCCGCTGGCCAGCTCTTGTGCTCCTTGCTCGGGCGATAAACGGGCGGCCTGGCCATGCCCAGATTGGGCGCCAGTGCCATGGCCGAGTGGCCAGTTAGGGACGAAGATTTGCCAGCCAGTAGACCATCCGCTTTGCTGATGGCAGCCAAATCCTGAATCACCTGCTGCTCGTACTCCTTGGTGACGGGCAGCTCTTCGGCCAGCTCTCGTCCCGCGAAATCAACCTTAATCTTGCGCGTCAGCCGACTGCCGTGCTTCAGTTCGTGCATCTCGCTCTTCAGCCGCTCGTACTTCTCCCGCTCGACGTCGCTCAGCCAGACGGAGTTCTCCTGGAAGTAGTCCAGCTCGTCGTCGATGACTGTCGTCCGCTTCTCGCTGTTCCGATCGTACTCCAGCAGGCGATCCCGCTGAGCGATTGCCTTCTCCAGACCATCGCCAGGCTTCTGGCTGCCGTTGTTCGCCGCTTTGTTCTTCTTCGACTGCTGCTTGCCGGTCTTCTGGCCATGGATGTTCGGTGTCCTGGCCAGTTGGCTGCTCTTGGAGGCATCCTTGGCCAGCTGCAGCTCCTCGTCGGGCGTGTGAACGGGACAGCCGCAGAAGAGGCACGGCCCGCTGCCCTCCTGCTCGCACACAATGCGGCCACAGGCGAGGCAATTGTTGATTAGCTTGTGCTGCGCCGCCTGGCAGTCGCAGTGGCGGCGTCCCTTCAGCATAATTGTGTCGCCCTGCAAGCGGCCATCGTTCGCATACAAATTCACATATTTCGCCTGCTTGCCCTTGGCTCCTCCACCGCCACCGCCACTGGCACCGACGGTCGCCTTTTTATTCATAATTGGCGATCTGTTTGGAATTTGTTTGGTCGGTGTGCCGCCCTTGGCGTTGTTGCGCGCCTGTTTGCCGCTCAGCAGCATGCGGCGGCAGTTGAGCAGAAAGAGGCGATGCTCCTCAACCTCCTCGCACAGCAGATTACCAAAATAGTTGTCGAAATCGTAGTCATCCTTGATCTCCAAAATGGCCCTAGGGGGAAATTCAAGCTATTAGTTTGGCAGGAACCGTACAGCAGTCGTAGCGGCGCACTCACTCCATCATCTTGTCGGTGACCACGCAGTCCAGGCACTTGGATAACGTGTCCCGTACCCATTTTTCCATGTTGAATCGATTTGTGATTGCCGTGAAATGTGAAATGAATGCAAAATTTTGAAAACGCAAGCAACTTCGAACAGCTGTTTGTAATACTAATCAGAATCGGTATATTTACGGTATATTTTGAAAATGAGAAGGTATATTTCGTATATTTTTGAGGGTCAAGCGGTATATTTTTTATTGCTTAATCCGCGGTCGCACTGGCTGTGATCTTAAACTAAATTAAACATACTAAATTAAACCGTGGCTTGCATGAAATCCGTGCTGTAAATAATATTATGTGTGCGAGCAGCGGCAACTGCCATCGAAACGGCGTCTTCTACCAATAGTGTTAATAAAGTGAAAGTCCACATTCAGGTATTAGGCGAGAGAGTCCTCCAATAACAACAAAAGCACCAACAACGGCGTCGATGTGTGGAAGCAGCAGAGTCAGTGGCAGAGGCAATGACAGAGACATAGTGATGGAGAGAGAGAGAGAGAGGTAGTAAGCAAAAAAAAAAAGGTAAAAAGGCAAGAGCGAAAAAAAATCAAAGCGTCGCCTCAGTTTCTCCTGCGCCGCAGCAAAGCAGCCCACCAACCACCCCCTTTTGGGCTTTTACCATTCTGTCAGCTGTAACTGTAAAATAGTGAGAGAGGGGAAAGAGACCCCCACCGCCCCGCACGTACAGCGACCAGCAGCGACAGAATATTTTTTGTTAACTTTTTTTTATTGTTCATGGACAAGCGGTAGTTTTGGCATGCTAACGGTAAATTCCGTAATACGTCCAAAATGTTTTATCAAACGTATTGCAAAAATTGCGTGTGCGCCTATTACTGTGTTTTCTATCCTTTCCTCTCTTAGTCCTGTCCGACTGTGCTTGAGTGTTGTTTGTGTGTGTTACTTGCAGTTTATGCAGCGGAATATGGTCAAGATCATGCGTTGAAGGAAAGTCCCTTCTGAAATGTGGTGCAAGGAAAACAAATCTCGTTGTCCGGCCTCCTAATCAAATACATGGTAAAATTCCATGCTCTGAAATATCAAAAGTTAGTGAACACCTAATGCCTATGTAGTGCACCAACACGTGATAAATCGTCAATAAAATGCAGGGGAAAGAAAGTGTACTGTACACCACAACAGAAACAAGTGTTTATGGCATTTACCAATAATTGATATATTTAATAGAAAACTGAAGAAATTGCTTCTAGCCAACAACGCATTAGTGGCCCCGCATAAACGTTCCTGGAAATCAGTGTGTCTCTGTGAGCTTTGCGTGTTCTCTGTCTGCTGCTGCTGCTGCTCTTCTTCTGATTCTGTTTTGGTGCACGATACGCCACGCCGCAGTCACAGTGTTGTTGTTTTCGCATTAAAATTGTATTTACTGTTTCATTTTGTACATCTAGTTCTTGTAATTGTCCGTGTATGCGTGTTGTAAACCTACCAAAAATAGCAATAAACAATAACAATGCAGCCGCATAACTGACGTCATAAGAGAGGCAGGAAGCGAGAGAGAGCGTGCGCGTGTGTGAACAACTGTAAACCTCAACCGGCAAAACCTCAAAAACCGAACAGCTGTGTGCCTCCAGAACAAAATCAAAAAGCAACAACAACGATTACAATACCGCAATAAGCAATAAAATAATCACAAAAAACAAAACAAAAACAAAAACTCATTTGTTAAAATGTATCGCATCGGTCCAATTGGACGGAAATCAAACTTCCATTCGCGAGAGAAATGTCTGATTGGCCTTGTCTTGGTCACCCTGTGCTTCCTTTGCTTTGGCGGCATTTTTCTGCTGCCGGATAACTTTGGTGGCGATCGTGTCCTCCGCGTCTACAAGCACTTCCAGAAGGCCGGCCCAGAGATATTTATACCCGCCCCACCACTCGCCGCCCATGCGCCACGCAACGAGGATCCCCACTTTATGGGCGACCGCCAACGGCTAGAGCAGAAAATTCGAGCAGAATTGGGCGACATCCTGGATGAGCCACCGGCAGCACAGGCCGCTGCAGCGGGTGAAGCGGGAGCATTTGGCGCAGATGCAGCCAATGTTCAGGCCCCAGCTCCCGCTGCTGCGCTCGATGAGCAACTGGAACAGGAGCGGGCAGAGGCAGAGGATGCCCGCCATGTGGCCGTGCCCGTGCTGGCGGCTCCAGCACAGGGCGACTCCGGCACAGTTTCCACTCACAACAATCCCGCGCAGCAAATCATCCAATTGCCCATGGGAGGGGGAGGAAATGAAGAGGCGCCGGACACTCTGGACGCCACCCTGGAGGAACGACGTCAGAAAATTAAAGAGGTAAGTGCCACCAATCTACAAAAGTACATATAGAAAACTATTTGTTCAAGCAAGGGCATCCGTGAATGCCCCCCCCCCCCCCCCCCCCCCCCCCCCCCCACCTCCCCCGCCCTCCCCCCACCCCCCTCCCCCCGCCCACTCCCCACACTCTCTTCTTCTTCTCATCTCTTTCTCTCTTGCTCTAATTTGGAATTTCTTGTTAATTGTTGTTGGGGTCTTTTTTTGTTGGTATGTGGACAATTATCAGCATTCCGCTATTTGTGTTTCCTCTCCCATGTGCTCTTTCGCATCTCTGGTGCTTACTTCCGTGACGCGACTGCATGACATCGCGCTGTGGGTCTCGCTGCCCCTCGTACCTTCGGCATCCTCTCTTTTGCCCTGTAAAGAGTCCCGTACCCCGCTAAGCCAACGCACTTCTCTTCCTATATGCTTCCTGATGGTTCATAAAGGTGCCCAGTAAATAAGCGTGTGTGAATGAAAAAGACTGAAGGGGAAGTGCATAGCTTATGCGGCAGTTTATGCGCTTCTTGCAATTTCGGTATCCACACAGCAGTTTATTCTTAATTGTAACTTTCTCTATTCAGACTTTCCTACTTTAAGTTCCCTCCCCTTTTTTTTTTTTAAGTTACCTCCACCAATAAGAAATTTGTCACCAATTAGCAAAATTATTAATCCATTACAAATTTGCAAGTCTTAATAAAATCTTTTTTTTTGTTGTTATTTACAATTTGCTTCGTTTCGTTTTCTGTTTTCCGTTGCTCGTCTGTTTCTATTTGCTTTTGCTTTTGCTAAAATTCCAGTGACCCAGAATCCGTTGAATCCAACCGACGCCGCTGTTGGGGCCCCCGTAGGCAAACGAAACGAATAGAAAACAAAGTCTTGGAATTATCATTAAAAATCAGCCAACGGGTAGCAGAAAGATGAAGGGGCAGAGATGTGTGCTACGACGAGCATGGAAACAGTGAAGAATGAAACGAGATGATCGTTGGCAACGTCGCTGCCGCTGTCGCCGTTGCCGTAATTCTCTGCCTCGATGTTCTCTGCCTTTTTAGCTAGAGACGGGTGACGGGTTCGTGCGTGACAGTGGCATAGAATGGTTCTTATGGCAGAAAAATATACATACATACATATATTTATGTACATGTATATAGCATATGTACATACATATAATAAATAATATTAACTAAAAATCAATTTATATATCTCGAGAGCTACAATGTGCAATCATATTTCCCGGATATCAATACTCGATGGGCAGCACACAATAAATTGAAAAAATGTACACGACGAACCGGCTTGAGGCAAGCCCCACATTCCACTCATCTCTTGTATCTCAGACACATCGAAAAAGCTCTCAAGTTTCGCTTTCAAGTGAATATTGTTTGGTCAACAGCGGAAGATTATCTTGAGTGGAGGGAGAGAGTGGATTCACCGGTGAATCACTTCTTTGGACACTGGCCTTGCCACTGGCTATTTAATTAATTTGCTTAGATATGAACCTATGTATCTTATTTGAAATTGATTCTATGGTAATTCACGTAGATTTATAAATGAGCTTGGCGCGAAAATTTAATTTCCGCTAATTTGATATAATAACACAAATCTGATATAAATACTAAAACAATTCCATATGATTTGGATAGTATTCAAGTAAGCCATGAGAAAGCAATCAAACAGATTTATACCCAAAGATGTTTAATGCATTCATATAACAGCTGTTAAATATTTTTTTAAATATATGCCCAATTTTGTAGCTACAACAACACCCACATTTGCTAGAAGAACCTCAGAAGCCTCTTCCAAAATTTACAAACAAAAACATTTGGTTCCTTAAAAATAAAAAAAAAAAACATTTTGTTTGGAACGTTTCTTCTTTTGCACGATGCTAGTACATAACGGCATACGTGCATAGTACATTTACATATGTAGGTATATCACTTGTAAAATTGACATGCAATCGTCATACCAATGAGTATACCTTATTATATCCCCCCACTATATCACTACATCTCGCTCACGGTTGAAAGAGCGTGCGACGAAGGGCGGGCCACTCAACGAACCATTTAAACACACACATTATAAATACATAATCGAAAGAGATTTTTAGATAAATCCAACCCACCATATTGTATTTATAACGGATATATATATGTATGTACATATGCAATTTGAAAACGAATACTTATTTCTTATTTAAAATCATTTTCAGAGCTAGTTGAGCATAAAATATGCACATGACTCTGCAAAAATGTCGGAGTAATTATTGCTACCATCATGGCCACCCATTGAACGCTTGGAGTGTGGGAGATGTGTGCCTGTCATGCCATACAGTACTCAAAAAAAGAAACACGAATTGGAAATTTTTAAAATATTCAAACATTTCTATTCATGCCACCAGTCGGTGGCTGTTGCTGCCACTGCTGCTGTTTTGAGGAGCACTTTTGTTGTCAGGTTTGGGCTTTAGAACAATGTTCCCCCTATTTTTTTCGGGGGCGTTGTTAATTTAGTCATTGCCTACAAATATTTACATAGTGGACAGTGGGACCTCTTGCTGTGATGAAAGGATTGGAGTATTGCGACCATTTCGATGGCACTGTTTCCACTGTGCAACTGGACTTTCTGTTGGCCATTCGTAATGCCAACAGAGTTGTGTTCCCCCCATCCACTCATCCCCCACAATATCCCATGTTGGTCTTCTGTTTTGATGCCCCCAGTCTCTGGGGCTTGGCTTTGGCTTTCACCAAATATCGTGTGCTATGCATACAAACAAAAAAACAAAGCGCCAGAAAGGTAGGGAGAGTAAAAAAAGACCCATAGAGTGAAAGAGAGGACACATGAATCGCATAAAAAAGTACAGAAAGAGAGAGGGACAACATATTCGCATAGAAATAGTGACAAAAAAGAGAGGGAAAGAGAGGCAGAGAATGAATGGATCCCAAATAGAAGGAAATGTGTCAATAACCCATCCAAACAATCCAAAGGGGCGACAGGCGACAATAGTCGAACCTGCCACACAGACACAGTCGGTGTTATTGTTCCCCCGTTGTGATAGTGACTCACAGAGCCATAGAGATAGGCATGGATGGAGTCGCAAGGTGTTTCATGGGTTTTTCATGTTGCCCATTGCTGTGGCCTAGCCCCCCCATTATTATTATCGCAATTGTTTGGGCGCAACAAATAGTTGTGTTTTCTCTTTGGTTAAACCTTAAAATTACCCCACGATCAAAAGCCATGCAATTAAAGCCAAATTAAGCAATTAAATTTGAATGCGAATGCATTGTATTCTTTTTGGTACAAAAATAAGCAACTTTGCACAAACAATCTATATTACATCTGGAAGGATTCCTGCACAGAATCGAGTAGATATTCTCTGTGGTCGTCTCAGGTACGAGGTGTAGCCACTGGTAGCACCTGTGTTTCAGATGGACTTAAATCCAGCAATTGGGTAGAACTCGATCACAAATATCTTCGTGCTGTTCAATGGATTCGATGTGTAAAAGCAAGTCTCCACAGACACCGGGGAGATTTTCCTCTCGTCGTTCTTGAGGATTTAGCATGCACCCCGGTACTTATCGGAGTCAATGTGAAGCGAAGGTGGTCCCCAAACTCTGCTCGTTTTAGCACAGACAATTGACAATAACTTTCCCCTTAAATGTGAAAAATTCGCTCAATTTACCTTCCCCGTTTAGCCAGTCAGTAATGGTACGTTGTGTTGTAATAATTGCAAACCACTTAAATGGAAGCTCAACTGTGAAAACAAAACCTGATTATGGCTCAGAGGAGTTTACTATTACTATAAATGGTTAAGTCACTTAGCCAGTGAAAAATGGGGAGCCAGCAGAGTAGTTACACAAGTGACAATGCGACAAAGTGCGAAAAAGAACCCAAAACATGTCGCAACATTTTTTTGTTAGTGACTGACTCAAGACCAGTTGATGTCTGTGGGTACGTACAGCTGTGGCGTATAAAATAACACCATGACATTAATCTTTCTTCTTGGAGATATTTTGTTAAAACAATGGTTCTAATGAACGTTTTTTAACCTATTATATCAACTTTGAGGCTTAATTCAACTTATCCGAGAGAAATGGTATGCGTTGAAGGCTTCTGTTGGAAATATTTGAAAAGAAAAGGAACTATTCCGGTAATTGGGCAACAAAAATAGCAATTCTTCCTAAAAAGAACTTTAAATTACAACGGAATTTACCTACATATTTTCCATTAAAATAGTTTACTTACTGCTTATAACCCTTTCGAGCTTTTAGCTGATCTGTCCTGATGACAAGACACAAATCAACGGCAATTTCTATTGCATATAAGGAAGCATCATTGTTTTATTATATATTAACAAAGACATGTTGATTCATCATCTATTTTTGCCGTATATAATACCATTTGATGCTTGTCTCAATATGATTATTAGATTTTAATGTGAGTCAAAGGGTTTTGTTTCTCATTCCTTTATTCGTTTTACATAAGATCTAAAGTTTTTTCAACAACAAATCTATAACAACGTTTATTTTTGCCAACTCCGTGTGTGTTTCTGCCCTGTATTCACTTGGCCCCATGGCTAGCTTGCTAAATAGGATTTTTTCTCCGACTTCGGGCTTTTAATTTATGTTCTTTTAAGCTAGATCTAGCTTTACTTATCTTTGGAATTTTTTTAAGATCCCTTCTAAGCCATTTTTTTCATTAAATGGATCCCCCATGCTCTCAGGCACCGAAATGGGAATATTGCGCCAGTTCTTTCACGTGTTTCTTGTTGGTATCATGTTTTAAAGCATTACGAATCATTTACGTTGAGGAACCGACTATTTTCCTCACATGAGGATAGCTTAAGTAAAAATACAAATGTATCCTGGAGAAATGGCAATGCATCGCCTTTTTTTGCAAAATACCTTCCTCTCACTAATATACGCTAATATAAAAAAACGAAAGTCAAAAATATTGTTTCGTTTGGATGTTATTAATTTTTGCAACAAAAAGTGGTCCAATTCCCC